TTCAATTTATGGATTTATAGTATTGGAATTGTAGATATATAGCATTAGAGTTCTGAACATATGTTAGAGATGTGCTGATCTTGTTTTATTTTTCTTCCATTCCATAAACATTTGTGCTTGTGTCTTATCATTTTCAGGCTGGTGACTGACTATAAGTGTTACAAGAATACTTGGATACAAAAGCTTTATGACTGTAGGGAGAAGTGGTGTCCAGCATTTAACAATGATTATTTTTCAGGGGGCATTTTATCGTTGCAAAGCAGTGAAACTACAAATCATTCGATTTCGAGAAGGCAGTCTAAGACTGCTGGTCTTTGTGATTTCTATTCATCATTTGTTAGTGTAATTTCTGAATGGAGAAGTAAAGAGAATGGTGAAGATTTTCGTTGTGCTCAAGGGGTACCCACTATGATGATGGAGCACGTGAAACTTCTTTTACATGCTAGAGAGGTATATACAATTGAGATATATTTTTTGTTTGAGGAACAATTTATGAAAGACAATGCTTGTCATCAAGAAATGGTGTTGAATGATGGTATTCAGCTCAAGTATCATGTATGGCGTCTAGATATAGACATTATAAGGCATGAAGTTAGTTTTAAGCTGGCCAACTTGGACATTTCTTGTAGTTGCAAGTTGATTTCTGAGTTGGACGCCATTGTCTACGTATTCTTCATGTACATTGTGTTTCTAGTATCCCTGATAAATATATCATGAAAAGGTGGACTAAAAAGGTGGTTGATGGTAGGAATGTGAATATTGGTCCAATGTTTTATAAAGTTGGTGTTCCTCCTTCAATTTGGGTTGTTGAGATTCGTAGAAAATTTCAAAGATTGATTGCATCTAGTCAAGATAACAGTGTAACTAGGCAGTTCTGTGATGAAGCAGTTGAGGATGCAAAGAAAAAGGTTGAAGCTGAGATTGGCTATGTGCATATTGAAGAGTGTGGTGTGTCATCTTCAAGTGGTGTCGTTCAAAATCCTTCAAATCGGAGATCAAAAGGTGAGCGTAATGTAAGGAGGAGTAGTGTTATTGAAAAGAAGTACAATTTTGCAAGGGGGAGAAGGAGTGCTGCAAATAAAGTTGCATCGAGTACATCCAAGTTCTAGGAGTTCAGAGTTTTGTCAGTTTAGTAATGATTTAGATGATAATGCAGTTGTAGATTGAGAGTGGGTTAATACAAGTTGTTAGCTGTTTTGAGGATATCAATTAACAAGTTTTTGCACTGTGTATTCAAAATTTTAGTACTTGTTGCTTTGCAGGTTTACAGCTATATATCCATAATATTAAAGCTATATATCCATAATATTAAAGCTATACATCCATAATTTAAGAACTATATGTCCACAAATTCTTGGACTTTTATGTCACAGTTGTAAAAATGTTCATACTTTTATATCAATATATCCACAATTTTAAAGCTATATGTCCATAATCTTAGAACTATAAATTCACAAATAGTTGAACTTTATGTTTACACTTATGTAAAATGTTCATAATTTTATATCCTTATGTCCATAATCTTAAAGCTATATATCTGTAATTTGAGAACTATATATTCAGAAATTCTTGAAATTTATGTTCACAGTTGTAAAAATGTTCATAATTTTATATCCATTTATCCACAATTTTAAAGCTATATGTCCATAATCTTAGAACTATAAATTCACAAATAGTTGAACTTTATGTTTACACTTACGTAAAATATTTATAATTTTATATCCATATATCCATAATCTTAAACCTATATATCCATAATCTGAGAACTATATATTCAGAAATTCGTGAACTTCATAGATCAGAAATTGCAAAATTTGCAATAAAGTAGTTCCAAAACAATTTTTTATCATAACAAAAAACGTTGTTAGAAATCAATGCTTGTACATTCAATGATCTTGTACACAATGTTGCAAAAACGTTAGGCGCCCCCTAGGCGGCAAGGGGGCTCCTAGGCGCCGATTTTTTTAATTTTTTTAATTTTTTTTTAATTTTTTTTAATTACAAATAAAATTAAAAATTAAAAATTTTTAAAATTTAGTAATAAAACATAAGGTTTCCATATTTATTTCTTAGAAACTATTTACGAAAGTGGTTGTAAAATTGTTCAAAAGATTGTTTAAACCATCTAAATACATAAAAAAAACTAAATGGATATCTGTGTCGTTATTGGTGATCCTGTTGTAATACTCCACCTCCGTCTCCATGCAGTCAGCAGCATTTTGTATGAGGGGTTGAATTGTCTTCCATTTTTGTTCCCTCTTCAACTTCTATATTCCCTTGGGGGATCCCCAACGTGTACTCGACATCTTATTCATCAATGTGGAGAATATCATCCTCCAATACAAAATCACACCTGAAAACATTAAATTTGTCCAGCAGGTATTCCACCAACTTTGATTCATTGGTGCAGAGTTGGAGATGTAGAAGTCCACCAAATCCAACATCAACCACAACTTGTTTCTGCTGTGGTGAGAGCCTCTGGACAAGGTCGAACATCAATTTTGGCCCCATCCTTGTATTGAAGTAATCTGCCCTTTTTTCCGTCCTCCGTGGTGCTCGGCTTCTCTTGCGCGAAGTTTGGTGCCCTCTTGTTGAAGCCTCCGCAATGGTTGTTTGCACTGTCTTCTGTTTTGTTTGTGACCTTGTCTGCCTAGCAAGGTTTTCATCATTATTTTCGCCAGAGCTCTCAACCGCTTGTGAATTCAAGATTGCTCTTGTTCTTCTTCTTTTAGTTTCTTGAAGAGCCTCCATTAGTGTAGGTTCGCGCACCATTTCTGTAAATAAGAATGTCATACATGCAGAAATATTAAACTACACATCCACAATTATAAAGCTATATATCCATGACTTCATAACTATATGTCCACAAATATTTCAAAAGCACCAAAAACAGAAAACACGAATGATATTTTCATACATGCAGAAGTATTAAACTACACATCCACAATTATAAAGCTATATATCCATAACTTCATAACTATATGTCCACAAATATTTCAAAAGCACCAAAAATAGAAGACATTAATGATATTTTCATACATGCAGAAGTATTAAACTACACATCCACAATTATAAAGCTATATATCCATAATATCATAACTATATGTCCACAAATATTTCAAATGCACCAAAAATAGAAGACACGAATGATATTTTCATACATGCAGAAGTATTAAACTACACATTCACAACTATAAAACTATACATCCATAATTACATAACTATATGTCCACAAACATTTCAAGAGCACCAAAAATAGAAGACACAAATTATATTTTCATACATGCAGAAGTATTAAACTACACATTCACAATTATAATGCTATACATCCATAATTTCATAACTATATGTCCATAAATATTTCAAAAGCACAAAAAAAAAAAAAAAAAAAAAAAAACAGAGTACTGCTTTGTTTGAGAAAAATCATACATCGTTTGAATTCACATTTACAATCTGTGAATTATATATCTATAACTTTGGTTCTTTATATTCAAAATCCTTTAGATTGTGTTCATAATATTCAGATTTATACTACTTGTTGGAGTTGTTGATAATATTCATAAAATCAACGTCAAAAATCCAAAATCACATTGCAAAATCCTAGTCAAAAATCACAAAAATGTATATCGAATATTAACGTTAAGGATCTATAAGTCCATATAAATGCATAATACCTGAAGAAGAAGGCAATGAAAATGGCGACAATGAGAGAAAAATGGGCAACAAAACACGGTCACGATGAAGTCAATGACAGAAAAATGGGCAACAAAACAATGCAATGAAGAAGGCGAGAAATGTGACAACGAGTAGACTGAGAGAGCGTCGATGAAGGTTGCAACAGTGGCGATGAAGCTTTGTACTGTGTTGTAGCTTGTTGCAGACGAAAGGTCGAAAATGGCGTCGATTGGCGCTTTATACTAATAATAATAATTTTATTTTTTTTTTTAAAAAAAAAACGATTGGAGGAGTCAAACGGTGCCACTAACGGCACCGTTACTCTTATAGTGTTAAATGATGTCGTTTTCAACCGTGTACACCAAGAATGGTACACACGGTTACACGACATAACAATTGTCCAAAAACACCCTAGACTTAATTCCTAGTGGGTCATCCATCCTGTAAGTCAAACATGCTTAACCTTAACAATTTAAATTAAAAAATATAAAAAAACAGTAATTAGCGACTTTTAGCCCTAGTTGCCGCTTCTCTTCTCTCAGTTGAACGGGAAAAGCTGAGCTCATAAGAACGGAATGTGATTCTCAATCTCTTCTCTCTCGGACGTCGCCCTCCGTCACCGACTCGCGCCCTCCGTCACCAACTCGCCGGCAGAGTAGCAGGTTTGTTTGTTTCTTTGCTAACCTTTGCTTCTTTTCCCCTTTCATTGCTAATCGATTGATTTATTATTTGTATTGTTATTGCCAGCGTAGTGCTGGAAAAAACTGGAAATTGCCGGCTTAGTGCTAATCTTTGGTTTTTTTCCCCTTTCATTGCTAATCTATTGATTTATTATATGTATTGCTATTGTGTTGAAAATGCAATAAATGTTGTTTTTGCTAGGAATATAATCATCTTCTAAACTCTTACGTCCCTTTGATATATATAGTGATATAGAGGAGGGAATTATCCCAATTCCTTGGGAGAGAATAACATTCAAATTTCATTAAATTTTCTATTCTAATGTTTGCTATATATAATAAATAATATAAAGATGAATATATGCCTTATAATAATGAAATTAAAATGAAATAAATTGTATTATAACATTATTATAAGAAGGTGTTGCAATTCCATGAAGTTTTAATTCTCTTGTACAAACAAGAGAAATTTTCAAGTTTTGGAGTTAAGTGGAAAAGGAATTGCAACTCCTTCATTTTTATATAGAGGCACTGAAATTGGTGCTGGAAAAGGAGAATTGTACACAACAGGTTAATGGATAAATATGCTGGAAAAGTGGATTTGCTTTCTTACTAAAGATATTGATAACTTTAAGCTGAAAATTGTACACAACATGTTAATTGGATAAATATGCAAGGCTAATGCGGAAGCTGCAGTTTGTAAATGTTGAGTTGTTCAAGGTATGCCCCTTTAAAATAGTTCATAGTCTAGAATCTAGATATATTTCTCCTTAGGTGATCAACTCTTATAGTCTCTGCTTATTTTCCATTTTTTATTTTTTTTAACTGTAAAATCCTTTTACAGGGAATTAGCCAATTGTTTGGGATCTTTTTTCACTTTGTATTTGAGAGCTTTGTCAATCAGAGTACTCTCCCTGGTGGAAAGGTCTTCATAGACATGCTTCCTTGTAAGTGTTTTCAATAGCTACTTTTCTCTCTCCATTTAAAAAATTGTATGTCTTACTCCGTGCTGTGATTTATTTATTTATTTTAATGGTTTTTAGACAAGCTAAAGACTGCATTATCAAGAATAACACAGGATTGTGACCAATGGATGAAACCAGTCTTCACCATTTAATTCATCTTCACCCACATCTTCAAATACACCATTAACTCATATGGATGTCACTCCTACAAGTCCACCAAGTCTCTTATCTGGTGCATCTTTTAGTCTCAAGGTACTTTTATTTCAGCAATGCTGAACAGGGATATAATTATGTGTAATTGGTTTCTTCTTTATAAAAGATCTACTTGTATTGCTTGTGGTATTGTTACTCTAGCCAGTGATACTGTAATACTTGTACAAGTTAGTTTAGACAAATCTCTAAACTTTTTGGCTTTAAGTCTTGTCCTTGGGGGCGTGGTAAATTAAACATCATAATACCCACAGAAAATGCATATGCATAGATTTGATATCACCTCATGTTTTGATGAGTACTGTATTATTTTCATGTGTAGCAATTCTAAAAAAGTCTCATTTTCAGTTTTGATGCATAGTATATCTCAATATAATTGCAGGAAAGATGTGCAGGTGCTGACACTATATCTCTTGTTGCATAGATCTAAAGATCATCTTCAGTCAATGCTTCTGAAAAAATAATCAGCAACTGTTAAAGATTTTTATGCGCATTTGGTATGCACTTGTAGTTTCCATTCTCTCCTGCATGTAACCTGGTGTGTGTAGATTCCATTATCAAAAGCTTTATTATATGCTAATGCAAAATCTTTGCATATCTCATGCCATGTGTGCTCATACATGGTGTGCTCTGTATTCTAGACTTCATCTTCCTTTTTAGTGTATGTGGCCATAAATGGTACGTTTTGGTTTATATTTTGATAGGCATGCCATCTACTGAACTTTCTATCAAAGAGCTTCTAGGAGATTTTGAGGCATGTGCTGAGATGTTCATTCCGGTGAGATCTCTTTATTGTTGTTGATTTTTAATATTTAATTTCTCAAACATTTTTCTGACTTCATTATTTGAAATTCAGGTCCTTTTCAAGCTTGTTGTGATTACTGTTCTTGTTATTGCAGAATCAGCTGCATTAAAATCCAATCATCATCATTTAGTATTTTCTGCTTTTGTCCTATCATACTTTTACAATGGTCTCTAGTCTCAACATTGGGGTAATACCCTATTAATTTGTTAGTAACTCCTGAGATTGGGTGGCCTGGACTTGAAATACTATCAACTGTATTGTGAGTAAGCTTATCCCTCTACAATGGGGTAGACATTTATAGATACTATACTGTGGTGTCCTCTAAGTTGAGTCCACATGTTTCCAAGCTTTTTTGTTGTGATGCCATCCACTAATTGTTGCTAAGTTGTGGCATAATTTCCATCTTATCAGGGCACTTTTATCCGCCTTTTTCAATTGGCAATCATCAGAGTCAGGTGTTTCGTCCAGTTATGGTCCTCGATGCTTCACTGAAAAAGAAGTGAAGTTGGGAGTCAATGATGCACTCGGGATCAAGCCCAGTGGTTCTGCGTCTGTCTGGATGGAAGGAAGGAATATTGGGTAGACGCTATACACTTGCTTTGATGCCCGGAGAAGAAACAAGAGTCAAGAAGGGAAACGTGAGGCAAAAGAAAAGTAAAATGACCACCTTTGCTTTTCATAATTCTGTGTTTAAAAGAGTTCGAGTTATATTCTTATTTTATTTTATTTTTATTTATTTATTTATTTTTTTACAGATTTATGTGTATTAATATATTTCGTACCATTTCTAACAATGTAACACTTTAGAATGTTATACTTTTGTAATTGTTATTAATGATGTAACACTTTAGAATTTATACTTTTATTATTGTTATTGACATTGAATTTCTTAATATAATATATTTTGTAATTAGATTATAAATTCAATACAGGTATGTGATATTAATTAATTAGTAGATTTTTTTAAAATTTGTTTTAAAAAATTTAACAACTGTCAAAAATTGTATTAAATCTGTAGTGAAATACAATAAAGAATGATAACGAAATAACGATGGAAATTTTTGTTACTAAATTTAGTGACGGATATTTTTGTCTCTGAGTTGTAGTTAAATGCTACCTACAGAAACGAAATAGCAACGGAATATTCGTCGTTAAATTTAGCGACGGAATTTTCGATTGTTATTCCTTTGTAAATTTCGTCACTCAAATTGTCGCTGGAAAGGAAATTAGCGACGGATTTTTTAAGTTTATCCGTCGCTAAAGTTAGCGACAGAAAAAAATTGCGTCGTAAAATTCTAGCGAAGACACTTTTTGTGACGGACCAACTCCGTCGCTAAACACTTTAGCGACGGATTTTTCTCTTTCTAGCGACAAAATTTTTCGTCGTTATTTTTGTTTTTTTTTTTTTTTGTTTTTTTTTTTGTTTTTTGTTTTTTTTTTTTGTTTTTTTTTTTTGTTTTTTGTTTTTTTTTTTGGTAGTGACATGCAACATTTATCATTCATCACATGGTACGCAAAAATTTCGTGTTTTAAAAGCACAAACGTGCGTTCTTTCCACACTTTAGAACAACATCGTCCTCGATGTTCACTAATGCGGACGCAAGGGTGGGAACAAGAGCGGGTGGGTAAAATATGGTTCCCCATTCCACACTTTAGAAGTAAAGTGTGGGTTGCTCCTGAAGTTCCAAAAACACCCTAAACTAAGGTTTCAGACGGTTGTCCCTTTCCACACTTTGGAAATAAACAATGGGACTTAAGGGACAACAAAGCATGCAAAAGATAAAGTCTATCAACGATTAGCACAAGAAAGTACCTTTCCACACTTTAAAGACATAAACTGGGGTAAAGGTAAAGGATTAGAGAGCTAGAGTGTTCTTGGTGGAGAGCTAGAGTGTTCTTGCTACTAAAGCTCAAGAATGGAAGAAAAGATGAAGAGGGAAGTGATGTAAAACCCCAATTTTTCATATCCAAATTTTCATTAAATATTTTTTTCTTAATTAACAATTTACTAAAATAATAGCGGAAGCGTTAACTAACCACAAAGAAATGGGTTTTACCGCCACATCTAACTACCTATGGTTAGATACAAGGACATCTAACTACCTATGGTTAGATACAAGGCTAGTCTAAACCTATTTAACAATACATGACGATTTAAATCTAAATAAAACAAAGTCTTAGGGAAATTCACATTGTCCCTCATTTAAATTTACTAAGTCCCAAATCAGAAAAATCTAACTATTACATTTATTCTATTCTTCCTCTCACGCGCTCTTTCACTTCAAGCTTCATCAATCCCTATTAAATATTTTTTTTTTCAAGAAACACATAACAAACAGTGAGAATTAGCAAAACATGCTAAGTAAGAGTTAATTTACCCGAAAACAAAATTTAAAATAAAATAAGGTACATTACTTTCAAAAATAACTTTTCTTTCAAAATCACTTACAAAATCTTCTTCATTTCATCAACAACCAATAACCACATCAAAATGTACCTTTAAATATTTTATTTCTTTTCCACATACAAACAATCATTTTGGAAAAGCATCACCACAATAATAATTAGCCACAAGGCTTACTTAAAAACTGATATGTGCTTTTAAAAATATTTGATTTCTCTCTTCAAGTCAACACAAATTTTTATGGAAGATCACCAATCACATAAATGTGCACGAAATCCCATATCCGGTAACTTAAATGGGCACAAAATCCCATAGCCAGTCATATAAATGAGTATAAAGTCCCATAGCCAACATATATAGGCATAAAATCCCATAGCCAACATAAATGGGTATAAAATTCCATAGCCAACATAAATGAATATAAAATCCCATAGCCAAAGTAAATGGGGATAAAATCCCATAGCCAACATAAATGGGCATAAAATCCCATAGCCAATAGAATCTGGACCTAAACCTCACCGAGAAGTTCTAAATTCAAATAGTCAGGATACGTTTCTACTGACTACTCCATAATACATGGTTCATGAACCCTAGTGGTATGCATTTCCTAACCACTCCTCATCCAACATGACAATCAATTTCTTAGTACACAGGGTATGTTCCTGCCGAGTACTCCACATTCACAATCATACTTCCATAATTAATTAAAACATTTTATAATTTAACACTTAGCCATATAGGCTTCAAAACCTCAACAAATAATCTCATTTATTCAAATCACACTTTTAACACTTTTAGTGAAAATCTCAATCAATCAAATAACATTATAACATCACCATAAGTTTTCGAAAATTTCCACCACTTCAACATTCGATAACATAATTGCTTTACACAACAACTTAGTCAACTAAAATCAACATTTCACCTTTACTAATTAATTAAATTCTTTTATGCGTACATTCAGAAAATTTCATTTATGCTTGTATATAAAATATACATACGGTAATTAAAAATACTATTTTTTTTGTATATTGATATTTTTCTTATATGAATACGGCAAATATATTATTATCTTATATTTCTTTAAATTTGTAAGTAACAAAACCAATAATATATACATACTTATTTTATATACTAGTCTTTTCTATGCGCGATGTGCAAAAACATATGCCCAATATTTATATTTTTAAAAATAACTAACAAATTTTTACTAATTAAAATTTAAGTGAAATAAAGTTTATTTATTATATTAATCCAATATATAATGAATATATAATGTCTTACAAATATTGTTATCAATAAAGAATAAAAGAAAATATATGGTGGATGCATATGCATGGTAAAAGTAATGGAAAAGATAACGGAAGTTATAACGGTAAGGGTATTTTTGTCCAAAAAATTATATAGTACAACTCTAAAAGCACAATGTATAAAATGGTTAGCATTGAAAATGTGGACATAAATGAGGGATATAACTTTGATTGAGACTTATTATGTTTTTAGATGTATCTAACGTACAGAAATTTTAAAAATATACTAATTTGTTTTTTTTTTCCTTTTTCAAAGACGATATATATATATATATATATATATATATATATATATATATATATATATATATATATATATATATATATATATATATATATATATATATATATATATTTTCAAATACAAACCCCCCTTAAAATACAAACTCCCCTTAAAATACAAACTGTGTGCATGTAAGTATGTTCATGTGTGCACGAGCTAATCCTAGATATTATTGGCAGTGTGCCCAGTGTGCATGTAAGTATGTTAATGTGTGCACGAGCTTTGATTGATGGTTGTGATTTTTTCCTCCTACGAGCTTTGTGTGTAAGTATGTTAATATGTGCATGAGCTTGATGGATGGTTGTGATTTTTCCTCCTACGCGCTGCGTGCATGTAAGTATGTTAATGTGTGCACGACCTAATCTCAGAAATTATTGACAACGCGCCCTATGTGCATGTAAGTATGCTAATGTGTGCACGAGCTCAAGTTTATATTTTAAGGGGGTTTGTATTTGAATGCAACCATATATATATATATATATATATATATATATATATATATATATATATATATATATATATATATATATATATATATATATATATATATATATATAGGGCTGCAGTCCATAATCTGGTTGAGATAAGATATACATGATAATAGGGTTGCGGTCCACCGTTTGGTTGTGATCAAACGTTATGTTTAGATGAGCTGCGGTTCATTGATTGGTTGCGATCAATCTCCTTGTGCTGCGGGGCCATGTCAGGGCTATATGCACTGACCTTCGTGTATGGGCACGTGAAGGGTCCTACGGCACCACCATATGTGCATACGTGTCTTATTGTTGATTGTGACTGAAATAGTAATTGGATATTGATATGATTGATATTGGATAGTCTTGTGACCTTAGGATGCATGCTAGAATCTCTATGTGCATGATTAATTATATTGAATGTGTCTGCTATTGCTTGATTGAGTCTACTCTCGGTTTTAAATTAGAGTTTCATAAGTATATATGTATTCCGGCTTCAAAATGATTTTCCCTTATATCTACCTATATTGTACTTAACGCGTTGGAGTGGGTTACCAGCATTATTCGTTGAACATATATATTTGGCTTTCAGGCACAGATGAGTAGCTCCGGAGCGCGCTAGTCGGACCCATGGACATAGCTAGATTAGTTCTATTGTCGGCCTGCGTGCCTTGAGATTGTACTAGATATTTAATTGGGAATTTCTTATAATTGGATATTTAGCCTGTGCATCTGAGTTCTCCAGCTCAGATGTGGCATAGCACCCCGACATTTATGTTTAGTTTATGCTCTATTTGGGATTTGATAATAGAATTGCCTTTATTTCATAAGCGTTAAAAGTTTTAAAATTTAGGGGTGTTACAGTGGGAGCTTCGTGGATAGGAAACAATAGTTTCTACGCATTCTGCACATGAATCATGGAACTTTGTTGTTTGGGGACAGAAGCTTCCACGAGCTCGATCTACGTTTGTGGCGGACTCGTGGATTGGAAGCAGAAACTTCCACAAGCTCGACCCATGCTCGTGGATTAGAAACAGAAACTTCCAGGGTCTATTAGTGCACTTCTACATGTCAACCACACAATTCCCTGCAAATGTAAAGTAAAAACCAAAAAATGTAAAAAGAAAGCAAAGCAAAACAGAGGAAACATTGGGTTGCTTCTCAAGAAGCGCCACGTTTAACGTCTTTATCCCGACGGGTTTATGGGTTTTTTCTCTCTTTTTCTTTTCTCAATCTTTTCACTTCTTATTGTTCTCTTTTCCACACCTTTCTTCATTTTTCTCTCTCTATTTTTTTTTCAATCTTTTTGTTTTATTTTTAAAAACTTTTCTTCATTTATCTCTATTTTTTTTTCATTC